CGATCATCTCCAAAGCCTGACACAGCACAGGTTATAATCTCCGCTGCTGTTCGGTTGCGGGAAATAACCGCAGCCTTGCTCAATTCACACACAATAACCCGCTTTGTTTGCTTTTACGACTCTTCCAGAAGTCGACAACTCACGTTAGCTACCGCCGTTGCCAGGCCAACAGCAGCGTCGCACTACATATACGTCAACGCCACAGCCGCACGTCACCGCTTCCGACGCACGTTGCTCGTTAGTTGTTTTAGCAATTAGCAGTTAGCAGTGAAATCGACACATCGTTCACGTTCATGGCGAATGGATGCAAGGACGCGTTGTTCACACGCGGGGCTGGACAGGTTAGTTGCGGTGCACCGGTGGGCATGAGTTGACAACGCGTAAACCTTCGTAGGCCGCCGTAGAGAGCTGGTGGAGCTACGGAACTTAGCGACAAACCTGCGCCGAGTTGGGTAACAAAGACGGAAAAGGACAGAGACAAACTAAACAAGAAGTCCATGTTGTACCTGGCGTGTTTCGTTAGTCGAGATATTGCCTTATTGTAAAATAATAATAATAATAATAATAATAATAATAATAACGTATTGGACAGACATCGTTGAATAGTTTTAGCTGCACTTACTGAAGCATCCTTCCCACAGTGCAGCATGGGGAGCGAAGGTAAACACGGCAGGTCAACTGCAAGTGTAAGCTGCACTGTCAAATTGACCGAGAAGATGAAAAGCCAAATCAACAACAAGAGTCCACAAATCTTTTTGCATCTTATGTGTGTAGTTTTGCATTGAAGGGGAGTGAAATAAACAACCTTTCACCCGCAGAGGCTCTGATTCTGTTGTTCTCTTTTCCAGAGTGATGATTCGGATATCTGGGATGACACAGCGTTGATAAAGGCATATGACAAGGCAGTCGCATCATTTAAGGTAAAATCAGGTGATGTGCAGTGTATGTGGACGTGACACGTTTGTTTGTTTCTGCCTCTTATGTCTCTGCTCTCGCTTTGTGTGACAGACTGCACTGAAGGGTGAAGATGAGCCGCAAGCCTCCAAGAAAAACCAACCAGGAAAAAAACGCAAGAACAACAAAAAGAACCAGAGCAGGAAGCGAACAAATGCACCACTGGATAGAGAGGTGTGTAACTGCAACTTAACATATACAGATACACATACTGGAAGGAGGCTTAGAGCTCAATGTCGGTTTGTAGGCGTCTCAATGACAGCACTGAAACCAACATCATTGGTGTAAAGTACATTTTATCACTTAAGATAATTACGTTTATGTGTTGTCATATTGTTGTATGTATCTTGTCACTGTTTTTTTTTATTATTTTATTCTAGATTTGGTTCAGTTTGCACCATGAGACAACCAAGTAAGTCTGGCTACACTATAATTACTGTTTGTGTTGTGTCACAGTGGCAGGTTGGAGACTCGTGCAGTGCGTACTGGTCAGAGGACGGCCAGCTCTATGCAGCCACCATCTCCTCCATAGACAAGGAGAGGGGCACCTGTGTAGTTGTTTTTACAGGATACGGCAACGAGGAGGATCACAACCTTGACGAATTGCTTATGGATATTTCTGAGGGTGATGAGGAAACAAATACCAAGGTAAAGCAGTGTAAAAAATTATGAAATACAATATATCTTATTACATTTTTATTATTTTTTTTTACATCTCCCAGGTTAATGGTGTTGTGCATTGCAGTCCATATTGTTCGGTGGTGCAGCAAAATTTGATAGCATGACTGGAATGTTTTACTTTTAAATGTAAAAAGTATAAAAGGTATTGCTGTCAGTCAGCCAGAATCTGCTGCTTCTTTTCCAGACTGGACATTTCCATTTTCAATATTGATAAACCCTTTTGACACATGCACTATTTTTGGAGGGTTCACCAGCTTTACATTTTGGTCCCCGAACAGGAGCTAGTCATTTTTCCATTTAACAAAATCACTCTGGCGGTGAGCCAACTCAAACCTGGTAATATTTCTGTAACCTTTACTCAGTGAAAAAAGGCAGCATCATTCCCTGATACAGTTCACACAAGGTTATGTCTTTCACTCTGCAAATATGCACACCACAAATGAGAAATTGGCTGCATGTGAGTAAAATGGGATTAAATGATAGTCAAGTTACCTTCGACACACATACATATACATAAATCTTACACTGTTTATTGGTATTTGGCTCCTATAGAGTGAATATAACAGTAGGTAATTACTGACAGATAAAGCCAGTTGAGGCAAAGTGAGATAAATGTCAATACTCGATCTTTATCAAATAATAACTCCTGGATTGCAACGAACATAACAAATTGCTATCTGACAGTATAATCAATCCAAGGATTAAGTAGTAATTAGTAAAACATTCTTACATGAATTAGGTTTAGAAGTTAATATTTTTTTCTTCTGCCTGTTTTTTTTTTTAATAAGATATTTCAGAAATTCCCCTGTGAGTAGTCACCAAGGTATAAAAAAAATGAAATTACAAATCCAGGTTAAAGCAATATGTCTCTGCAATTAAGGCAGAATCGTCGACAGAGGAGAGTGACAGGTCAACCACATCAAACCAGCACAAACAACAGCCACACAATAAACCCCAAAAGACCAAGGCCCACAAAGAACCTCCTCCTATGTGGGCTCCTGGTTTCCCTGGGTTTCCTCCAGGTCCACCTCCCATGCATTCTTCCAGACAGGTAAGAATAATGACTTTGTACCTTTCCTTATAGTCAGCAAACAAAATGAACTAGTAATAGACTGATTTTGCACATATTCTTATTGCTTGGGATTCCAATGTCAAAATTTTGTTTAAATTCTGTAAGAAGGGTTGCTCTTAGTTGCAGCAAAATTAATAGTACAATGAAATGTAAACAAAGTGTTTATAATACAAACAATAAAGCAAGAATAAATATTTATCTCTGTGGATATTTGATTGCAGAAACTTGAACTTGCATTTAAGTTAATAGGTTTACCTTCTGTGTTGATGTAACTCTATATGAAGTTCTAAAAAGGGGAATAGAAAAATGTGTTTCAGAAATAGAGTACATTATCTTAAAGGTCATTTGTGAAGGATTTAGTGGAATCTAGCAGTGTAGTTGGAGATTGCTACTCGGTTCCTTCACCTTCCCCTTCCAAGCACAAGGGACAAACTATAGTGGCAATGACACGCACAAAAAAAAACACGAACACCCCTATCTAGAGCAAGTGTTTGGTTTGTCACTTCTGGGCTACTGTAGGAACATGTTGGTTCAACATGGCGGATTCAGTGGAAGGCGACCCATCTGTAGATATAAAAAGCTCATTGTTAGCTTTGTAACATATAGTTATGCATACCTTATTTCATTTCTGCCAATAGAGCATTCTAAATGTTACACACTGGACCTTTTAAGCCTTTCTTGTAGGTTGCATATGACATATGTGGAAGCTCCTCAGATTACAAGAACTGAATGACCCCAGACACTTATATTATGAAAAGTAGAGTTAACTAAAGAGGAATGTTTAAGCCAGGGCTGTGGGGCCAACGGGGCAACGGGCAAAGTTAGCCTGCCAAAAGGTTCGGTTTGGCTGGCCAGATGCTTCTAGTGAATAGAATAATCTATATACAACATACAAAACAATAGAAATTAGTTTAAAAAAATGTATAAAGTAGATCCCTTTTTATGCTGTTTTGTTTGTGTAAGGTAAAAAATGCTCTTTATTATGTAGGACCCCTAACTATTATGTTTCATAACCTGAGCTTAGCGGTCAGAGTGACACTTTCAATTAAGGGAACTTGGGATTTTGGGGTACTACTTGGAAATACTGAGATCTCAGTGTGTTGTTATGAATATCTTTTTTGTCTTTTGTGTCCTCTGCCAGGGGGGAAGCAGACGATCTGGTGGTCATGGGCCTGTACCTCCTTCCTGGCCTCCCATGATGCCTTTTGGTCCACCAGTGAGTTGGAATATATTTTTACACTAATTACAAATGCACAAGCTACAACAGATTCTCTTTTATTTGAGCAATGGGGTCTGTAATCTACGTGTAAAAAAGCACACATTTACTCATCCAGCTGGTAAATTGAGAAACATGCATAGACAACAAATATCGTCAGCTTTCAGCATCTGCATTATGATCACATTCTCGCTTCTGTTGATATCTCTGCCTCAGATGATCCCTCCACCTCCACCAATGAGCCCTGACATGGTCGATGACGAGGCCTTGGGCAGCGTGCTCATCTCCTGGTACATGAGTGGATATCACACAGGATACTACTTGGTATGTGCACAGAAGCTAACTGATTCATTATGGGACGTAAATAGGATTCACAGCTTTTATTTACAGATTCAATCTCGTCTTACGTTATGTAGCACCGTATGGTAATGTGGTTGCTGTTTTGCCTTTTTGGTGAAGTTAATTGATTTTTGTTGGCATGCTTGTCAGTGCTTTCTTGAAGCCTTTTCATCAAATCTCTCCAGCTTCATAATAGGTGGGAGTCCTTGATTTTTTAAAAGGAAGCTGAATTAACGTCATACTTTTTTCTGTTTTTTTTTTTTTTTTACAGGGGTTGAAACAAGGACGCAAAGAAGCTGCCAATTGGACGAAACTGCACCACAAATGAAATGACCAACTCAAGATTTTAGTTTCATTTACTCAGGGCATCACCTGGAGCAGCCACCCTCCCCGCCGTGTCTGATTTGTGTCCTCCTTAATTCAAAAGGAAATGTTCTAAATGAAATGTACAGGCTGGGAACAGAGCGTTCACGGAGAAGACTTTTGTATTCTTTGTAAATATATTAAATAAAGGGTATCAGAGCACAGTTGATAACTCGCTCACTGTTATGTTTTTGATGCACTGTAGCATAGACACACTGTTAACATTTATTGCACAGTAGATGAGTGTTATTATAGCCATTTTTCACTTGGAGATATGTTACGTTGACTCATTAGCAGAAGAGGGGATTCTTTGCTGGGGATTGCTTATCCAAACGTATACATGACAGACTCAATGATCTATGGTTGCAATGGCAAGTACTGTCCAGCAGAAGTCAGACTAGTATAATGTATTCATGTTTATAGGAAACTGACATGAATACATAATAGTTTGGAGTTCAAACCTGTGCAGAATCACAGCCATACAGAGAAACTCCACTTCTAATTATGTGTCTGCTTTACACTTGTGTCTCTTGGCATGCTAAGAATTTGATTGCAAGCCAGACCTGAGTCCTCCTTTAGTCCCTCTGGTGCTTTCCACACAGTTAATTCAGAGAATCGTTCCAGTATATTTCTTGCATTCAAGCTCTCTGTTTTCCCTGAGGTGTTCCTTCGTACACCCCCCAATACGGGACCGCATCCATCATAATGTTTCTCAACTCACATCAAATGCATATTTCAGGGTGATAGTAGGCAAGGTTTCAACTGCAGTCAGTATGACACATTGGGACAGTTGTGCAGATAAAGATGGATTCTAAAACAAAGTCACTGAGACGTTAAGATCATTGAAAGACATTTTGTCTTAATGTCTTCTACACTTGACAATCTCAGAATTACCTTAAATGCAGACAAAAGGGCTTTTACAGGTAAGTGAGAGAGAACATTGAGGTGTTTTAACACCACTGGAATAGACACGCTAATGTTGTATAATTGTGTGGAATGGGAGCTTGAGATCCATTACTGTCTTGATAACTCTGGGTATGCACACCTGTTATTTAATTTATTTCTTCATCCTCAAAACTTAATGTTTGAGGTTTAATAATGTAAGAACGGTAGAGGATGCATGGCAATGGTTGCAAATACTGTATGCAAGTATATATTTAGAATATCTAAAACCAGATGTAATTACAGTGGGAAGGAACAGCCACAATCGTTCTGCACAGCCTGTAGCGCTTTTATTCCGTGAAAAGGAAGCCAAAAAGATTTCCCATATTTCCTATACTGGTGATTTACTGCCTGCTTACACCCACTCCTCTGGTTCTAAACTGGTGGGCAATTGATCATGTGTATGTGTGAGGGAGAGAGAGAAACAGAATGGGATTTTGCGGCACGATGTAACAGCATGATCGTCTCCTGTTTTTTTATACCATGTGATCTTCCTCCAGCTGCTCCATAGCCATTGCTTTCTGAGTGAAGAGCGGCCCCTTTGTTTGTGTTCTGACTGTGGTCTGCATTTTATAGCCCACTGTGACTATGCCAGTGTTGACTGCTGTATTTGATTCTCACTGTAGCAGTCACTTTTGTCTTTGCCTGTTTGTGTAAGTTTGTGTGGGCAAAAGAGAGAAAACGGGAGAGAAAAGAGGGACAGTAGCAGTAGAAAATGTAATGTGTAGGATTTACAAATAGAATATGCACTATAAATGAGGGGTGATAAACCAGACCTATCTTTCCCCCACAGACGGGTTTAAAATCTGCCACGGCAAAGCCTGCACATAAGCCCATTGCTTGCCTGACTCTGCAGCAAACTGAGATGCCCAAAGGGCTTGATGGAGCCCAGCGAGGAGTTAAAAGGGGGTCAGACCTAGCTTGGGAAAGCACTGTTCCCCTCTGTGACAGTCTACCCCCTACTGACCAGCACGGCATGAGGCATGTAAACATAATCTGCATTTCACATAGTCCCTTCTAGGAAACAGACAGACATCCAAGTGAGATCACATTGCTGCATGAGTTACAGCGCCTTCAGCTATTTACTCAGGCTCCCGACATCAACAAACATCCTGCTTCTAAATAAGACTTGGGGGGAGATTAGAGAAACAGGGCCTACACAAGCCCCTTTCCCTTTTTCCATAGAGGCCGAGAACCAGACAGCCACTCAACAACTCCAGTCAACATTACATGTTTGAGGTTTTGGTGCAAACACCATTAACCCCAGTGGAGGCAAGTAAGTGTTTTTTGAGACAGGAAAAGATAAATTTGGACTATTAAGCATAATTGGTACAAGTTTGGTCTGTGATAAATCACTGGATTAAGTGAGACTTTGTTTCACAGTAAGCATAGTACACTGAATTGTTATGTAATCAGACTGAAACATAGCATGGGAAACACAACACTATTTATATTTTTCCTTTTCCAAAGAACACAAATGAGTGTCAGACACTAAATTCAGATTTCACGATTGGCAGACAGACAACATATTCCAGTATCAAGGCTGTTTATGATTCAGGCACAATTGAACAAAACATCGCAACATGATACCATGATGTCAGGAAAAGGATTTTCAGAGATAATTGTCTACCCAGTGTTAATCAAGGCAGTTATGTTGTAAAATCACAGGAAACAATGGCTCGCAATTACACAAACCCTGATGCAGACTTTATCTTAATGCATTGATTTCCAGCCTTGCATCACTAAAGGCTTTTTAACTCATGTATGGCTTTTGGGTACCTTGTGATTGTTCTCTCTTTTAATGGTTCACATTTTATTTGAATAGTTTCAGGTGACACCGTATGTCACGGCTGGGGTTACACAGTGTCTGAATGTGCAGAAAATGGATAAGTAGAGCTTTGTTGAACACTGGCTTTTTGCCATTGAATAGTTCTCGTAACCTCGACACTTAGCTGCCCAAGGTAACACCGAAAAGTGGAAAAAATGAGAGAGCTCTGACATTGAAGCAACTCAGATCGCCTTAACAACATATTCATTGGTATGGGAAACTTACTAAAATGATAAAATGAACGGCCTAAAAAGCAACTACCATGAGACAGTTTAACTCTAAGGTTGGATGTGAGTCCCAGTATCTTGATCAAATATGCCTTTTTATGGGACTGTATAAGCAGTAGCACCTTGTATCATAAGGCGTGAACCTCTGTCACTCACTGTGTGGATGTGACCTCTGCCTTAGTGAGACTGACCCTCGATGACCTTCTGACCTCTCAGAATTCCACTCCCAGCAGGTCCAGTTAATTCCTGGTGCCGCCACAGACTGTGATTCACATTCCTGCTGGATCTCCATGCTTTGTTGCAGATGCTCGTAAATATAATGTTATACAATGAAGGAAAAGTCCGTACCCCCCGCTTTACAGCCCCTTAAGTAGGCAGCGTTATTGGTATTAAGAAAATGGGAATTCTCAGAGGCTAAAGAGTAGCATTAAAGCATTACCAGAAACATACTGTAGATCCTGGTCCTTTGACAGGTCAAGGGAAGTATTGTATCCACTATAGAAACTGTGTGCTATTAATCTCAACCCAGCTGAATCCACTGGTGCATTCATCATTCAAAAGCATATTACTTATTGGTCAAACATCACTGTGTTCCAGTAAACACCTCAAGTTTTCCAACATCAAACATGCCAAGTTGAACAGACTTTTTATAGATTATTTAGTTGGGCATTTTTGCCTCTATTGGACAGTTAAGAGGTAACAACGTAACTATTTGGCTACCAAGGTGCTCCACTCCAGATTTTTTTCATTTTATAGATGGTACAGCCCTAAAAATGTCATCTGTTTGAATATGGCAATAACTTTTATCTTTAAAGTTCTCTTCATAAATACATTTGAGCTCATTTAAAGCACAACAGACAAATGTAAGTGTGATATACAACTTAAAATAATTAGTGATTATTGTCCTATACTGTGTGGTAATTGTCTATGACTATTTAAATTGAATTTTAATGACAGCTTTGGAGTAAATATATAAACATCAGGGTGGAAAAAAAAAGAAAAAACACCCAAGAAGTTAAAATATGCCTCTTTAACTTGGATGTATGTCTGTAAATGTGGACAGATTTTGTGTATTTTGAGAGGCCACAATGAAATAATTAGGCCTACAAATAGATAGTAGATAGTTGTCGTGCGCACATGTGGGCATGATTTTTTTTTTTATGTCCATCCAACTATATTGAATGACTTGCATGAACAGGCCTCCAACAGGCTTCTGAGATATTGCAATAGTAAATCTCAGCGGAGCAGAGCACACGACATCCATCGCCGGTAGAGGTCTCTGGATACAGGACAGGGCAAAGTTAGGTCTCAGCTGAACCACATGGGGTGTCACCGTGTCAGTGACGGACGCACAAGGAGCAGTGTTTGGAAAAGTGAAAAGTCAGCTGTGAAGGAAGGAAGGAAGACTCCGTAAATTTGTTTTCTCTCCCCCCCTCCCGCTTGTGGACTTCTTCCAGTCTCAGCTCCCACATCTGAAGAAACGACAGTGTTTGATTCGGGGTTTGCATAAATCTCCTGGGAGTTTTCTCCGGTGAGGCCGTTTTGTGCCGCCTGGATCTGCGCTAGGCTGTTTGGCACTTTTCTAAGCGATTCCTCTCTTCGCGCTCACTTTAAGTTCAGTAGTCTGCACAGGACCATCTGTGAAGTTGCCAGAAAGCGGAGACGATGTTTTGCCGGAATCAAACAGCGAGAGCAACCGTTGCCCGCGGCTCTGCCCTTGAAATGGAGATACGGCGAGGGAAGTTCAGAAAGAGCGTTTTCCTGGATACATCACAGGTAGACTCTGATTGTCCACCACACACAGCCAACAAACAAACAAACAAACACACACACACACACACACACCCACACACACGCGCGCTATGGGGGATTCTCTGTTTACAGCTTTGACTGATCTCTCTGCCTCTGCAAACTAACTTATTTGGCACACTTTTAATCTTGTTCCGAAGGCAGTTGAGTGTTTGCTTTGCTTTGTGCGGCATTTTAATTACATTACACTGGGGAGCTGTGCTGTTGCGTTCAGGTTCTGAGATTAAAGCTGTTAATTGCTGCATTTTCCAAACTACTTTGCATTTTACTCGAGTCTTAACAAAAACCAATAATATTCCTACAGAGACTTCAAAGTGTGTCTGTGGTACTCAGTAGTGGGTTGATAGTAAGTTAAATGTGCTT